CTTGGGTAAGGTAAAAAAGTAAAGGTACCCCTGTAACAGGTTGTGGAGGCCCATAGGGTTGTGAGATGTTGAGGTTCCCACATTTTCTAGACAATCGGCTCATAGATGGCGGTAAGGTTGTCAGCCTTACGCGCTGACCGCCCTTTACCCCCAAGAATATTCCTGGTACTCAATTCTGCTAGAGGTCGAATCGACCCCAGGGCCATAGTTCTGTTGGAAGGACTGGGTAAATTGAAAAAATCCACCTCATCGGGATTCGATCCCGCGACCTTCCGGCTTATAACATAGTGCCTGAACCAACTACGCTACCGCGTGCCCCATATGATACAGTAGTCTCTGAAATAGAGATCAGACGCACAAGTCTCGGTATGACTTCGCAGTAATGAAATTCTTGCTGAAACGTCTGTATACGTGTCTAGTCTCGTATATCAGTCCGTTTCTTCTGTGCAATGCTGTCATTCCGCAAATGAATCGTCTGTCTCAGCGATAAATGTTAAAACAGAACTTTACTGCACCGAGTACGTAATGAAGTGGCACCGTCCGGTGAGATCTTGTCTGCTCCCCGTACGTTAGTCCTTCCGTCTGGCCTTCCTTCCTTTGTGATATAACGCAGGCTCGCGGAAAATTTGCCAGATTGCGTTTTATTTTGTACGTCGGATCAATGTCGTTCCTTACCTACATGAAGCCCTCATCAATTTTCTAAAAAGATATCACCATATCGGAAACATTTTCTACAACTCTCTCATACGCCAGAGGTTCCCAAATTGTGGCATGTCCCCTTACCATAGGGGTTCGGTTTTCTTTCTGGGTGGGTGGGGAGAACATTTTGTTTAAAAATTATTTTAAACGAAATATGGGAAAACGTTTTTAAAATCCTTTGCTTTATAGACTTAGTCAGTTGTAATGCACTACTACACAACTGAAACTCGTAGAATATTGGCGGTTTTAGGAAGTAAACGGCGATATATGTCAACGTACAGTTATGTTACATTATGAGAAATATGTTTTTCAAAAGAGATTGACGAAGCGACTGGTTGTAGCGGTATTGGTCACTGTACGGCTTACGTAATGTATGTTGCAGATGCAACAATTAATGAAGACGTGTTTTTCTGCGCACCTGTAAAAGTAAGAGCAACGAAAGAACGCTTTAAGATTGTCATTTTCATGAAAGGAAAAAGCATACAATTGAAGACCGTGTTGGAGTGTGCACAGATGGCAGGAAATAAAGGACTGCAGGCCTTAAATAAATGATCACACACTGTACGACACATTGTGAATTACGCCCAGAACTGAGTGAAGTGATGGACACAATGACCAAAACTGTAAAGTCCGTCGTGCCGTTTGTGCAAAAAAGATTACGAAACTGAAGAATAGGCCAAGGCTCAACAAAGGGCTGTAGAGCCATTGATGAATGAATGAATGAATGGTTTCTTGATCAGCTTTGTCAACAATCGACCTGTATATTTCTCTAGGCTACAAATTCTTATTGCTCACTCCCGCCACAAATTTCGGTACAAGACCAGACTAAAATGGAATTTCGTAAGAAATGTGTACGTTCCATTGGCAACATCTTTACAACGTTCTACATCGCTTAGAGCAGTTTTCCCACATTCTGACTCTGGCAGTGTAATGAAACATATTTTACTATTATCTCGCAACAAACGAGATCTCGTATTACACACACACACGTATGTGCCGCACACACTTATGTACCGGTAACCGCAAATTGTGTTCGTATTTTTGTTCATACTTCTTTGAACGTTAATTTAATTGTGTTACGCAATAGAGACCACAGCAATTATTAAGAGATTAGTACGTAGAAGCAATAAATGCCAACCGAGAGAGAAAATCATGACATCAAAATTAAAATATAAGATTTGAAGTTCTCACAGTTGTGACAGTGTAGATCACCATTATCTGGAATGTAATGACGTGTACTCTTGTCTGTTTGAGTCTTCTTCTTGCTAAGTGCTGCTTTTTTGCACTGCTTACTATTCGACATGAAGATTGAGGCAATATGTACCCCGAAATGTCAGTAACCTTCAAGATTCAAAGTTGATATTCTACATAAGTCCTGTCTATAACAAACAGACTGAATATGAAGATACTGAGGCATCAGAACTTTGACAAAAACGATGATACAACGAAATAGGAATGGCCTCTTATTATTAAACTTTGCGAATTGTTACTAACATTAGAAATTCATTTAAATTCAAAACATTGGGGCATGCCGATGGATACTATTCCTTCCCTTCCAGGTGTCAAGGTCCACAGTCCATAGTCAGGGCGTGGTCGTTGTGGCGCGAGGAGGAGCGATTTTTCTTGGGAATCAACCGCTTTATCCTGTGCCAAGCTTATAAAATGTATGTAGAAATTTTTAATGGATTCGCCTTTGTAAACCGTTTAATTTATTAGCTGCCTGTCCTTCACTCGTACAAATACACTATCATCACCGTCCATCAGCTCATAACGTTTTTATACGTATCCCCTTCCCGTCCCTGTTGCTTCACAAAGCGGCCCGAGCAAGGCCACTCAGCCTTCAGGCCTACATGCAGTAAAGAAAGGGCGTAACCTAAATGTATGTTTCCCGCGACACACTCCAATTTTGCCCGCGGAGACATTTGAAACAAGAAAACATTTCCTAATACTGGCCCCCGACTAAGCTGTACTAGATTTGTGGTGGACAAAGTGTTGCTGGGGCAGGTTTTCTCCGAGTACTTCGGTTTCCCCTGCCAATCTTCATTCCACCAATTGCTCCACAATCACCCTCACCTATCATCTGGGGCTGGTACAATAGGCCAGAAGTGACCGCAGTACAAGGGACTTAGTCCCACCCCACTAGCAATTAAAAAAAGTCATAATAGAACGCCGAAGAAATTCCATGGGTTTTCCGGGAAATTATGAAATAAAACCACAATTTCAATATTCCCAAATTACCCTGTCATAAATCCTTGTTGTTAGTGCTAATTCTTTACCGGGATTAAAGTAACTGTGTTGGATATTGCTGTCGTGTATTGTCACGGGGCGGTTTTCTACTTGACGACTTGCAGACTTGCAACCACCGGCAACGGCCTCTTTCTAATGTTTTCATTGTCCGTCTTACAGTCAGTCTGATTGTGCAAGAGATCGCAACAAAGTTAAACTCTATGCAGTGTGAAACAAAACATAGTCCAGACAGTTCTGTTTTCAGTGTCGCAGAAGGAGATTTGCTCGAAGTTCGAATCAATCTGAGGAACATCAGAAATTTTGAAGAAAGCAGTCTTCTGGGTTTTGGCACCGTGTATATGTGGTGTTAACCGACGTTTCGGAGGAGCCTATCGCCTCCATCTTCAGGGGAGAAGGAAAAATATAAGAAATCCGCAAGCGAAGAGACCGTGAGAACCGGTAAAAGCAGACTCCTGTCTGCTTATATTTTTCCTTCTACCCTGAAGATGGAGGCGATACGTTCCTCCGAAACGTCGGTTAACACCACATATACACGGTGCCAAAACCCAGAAGACTGCTTTCTTCATAGTGCTTCCTTCATAGTCATCACCGTGAAAGCCTCAAATCTTACATTAGAAATTGTATTTTACTTTCCTTGAAGTGCCAAATTGATTGTGTTCTTATGTTGTGGTATCTGTGACCGTATTTAAGGGGCCCGGCATGTGTTGTGGGGAACAGAATAGGCGGGCAAGTACTACTGCACCGTCCGCTTGTTTTGCGTCACTAATTCAGCCATTTGTCACAGTTGTGATTATCTAAGCGGAAGTGTTACATAATATCAGCAAAAACTGAGACCCTGTGTCCATTCGTCAGCTTACAATTGTGGCTAAGGTTTTCTCTTTTTAATTAAGATAAATAACGATTGGCTCCAATAATTCAATAGATTTCTTCAAGACATTTCTGTATGATTAACACCCTACAGTGAAGCAGGAAGAAAAGTCGCTAGGGTTATCTCCAGGACCCAGTTCTTGAAGGAAACTTCTGAAATGTAGTTGTATTTTCGCTTTGGAGCGATGACGACGTATGATTTTGTGTTTTAAGGTGACGTAGTTGCCATGGCCTGGCAAACATGTCTAGGTACACGCCTTGCATGCGGCAGATTACGTTTTGAATACTGAACTGACCGCTACTCCTACTGCGAACAACACTAACTGTTTGGAGTGGCATGCTGCATAGCGTCAGCTGGTAACGATGATAGATGAATGATGAATTTTAGAGGGTACAGTGAGTCGCGAGGGAGCACGCGGTAGCGTAGATGGTTGAGGGGCTATGCTACAAGCCGGAAGGTCGCGGATTCAAATGCTGATGAGGTCACTGGATTTCTTTCAATTGACCTAATCCTTCCAGTCGCACTGTGGCCCTGGGGTCGACTCAGCCTTTAACAGAAATGAGTACTAGGAATTAATTAAATATTTTCCTGGGGAGTAAAGCGCGGCCGGCGCGTAAGGCTGACAACCTTACCGCCATCTGTGAGCCCATTGTCTAGATAATGTGGGAACCTCAACATCTCACAACCCTATGGGCTTTCACGGCCTGTTACAGGGACAGCTTTACTTTTTTTTTTACTTTACAGTGAGTAGCGGTCGTGGCCTCTCCTCGAGTTTGCCTGGATGGACTAAAGAATTTCACAATGGATTTACTAAAAAAAAAAAATTATAATACATACCTCAAAAATATTATCACATGATAGTTATACCGGGGAGACGAATGCATATAGGATATTGGTGGGAAAGCCTGAAGGAAAGAGACCACTGGGAAGACCAAGGCGTGGGTGGGTGGGTGGACGTATTAAAATGGATCTTAGAGAGATAGGATTGGATGGTATGGATTGGATTGATCTGGCTCAGGATACGGACCAGTGGAGGGCTCTCGTGAACACGGTAATGAACCTTCGGGTTCCATAAAAAGCTGGGAAATTCTTGAGTAGCTGTAGATATGGCTTCTCCTCAAGAAGGGCTCAGCTCCTTGAGTAAGTAAGTAAGTGAATTATATTTTAGACAGTAAGACAAGTTGTATTAAAGCGAAAAAATAGTTTTATTTAGAGGCCTGCATATTCAGGAAATGACGTATGTCAGGGTGCAAGAAGCCTGAGACCAAGTAAACAATCACAACGAAAAGAAAAAACAGTTTCACACGGCTGTGACTCTTAGGACTACGGTCCTCTTGGAAGCGACGCCGTGTAGTCTGGTGTTGCCAAGTTTTCGACTGCACTTTCCAGAATACACGAACTTCTTATGTTCTGATGATGTAAGAGCAGCAAATTCCTCCGAAACTTTGGTACCTATCTATCAGACTACACGGCGTCATCCCAGGAGACGGTAACAACCTTTGGAAAGGGATCGTCTGGTGCATACAGGCAGTCATTTCACCAATCGGATAGTCCTTAAGCGCTGTGTCGCTATTCAAAATCATCTGCGTTTTCCTTAAGAGGAAGTGAATCCCAGAATTCCATGCGGTCCTTGTACAGATCATGTTCCATGCTAAGCCGCACAGGCCGGATGCCATAAAACCCAGGCGTCTGTGACATGTCATGGGCAATGTTCATGTAGGAACGGTTGTTGACGCTAAATGGCAGCCATTTCACTTCACTCTTACCTCCAGATGGCGTCGGGTTTCTAAAACAGAATTGTATTGGGAAGTAGCCTTGTACGGACGCATCTCATCCTGTCTATGTTATCTGAACATGGGGCTACATACTGTGTTCTGGGACACGATGCCGCGTGACCATGGTAACGGTCTGCTAGACTGCACGGCGTCATGCCTCAGAATAAGGGTCAGTAGTGCTTAGGTTACACCAGTTCTCAAGAACCATTTTATGTGATCTGACAGCGGCACAATTAAAGTGATCTGTCATTAAGAGAGGAACATAGACTGAGGGTGTTTGAGAACAGGGCGTTGAGGAGAATATTTGGACCGAAGAGAGATGAAGTGACTGGAGGTTGGAGAAAACTGTATAATGAGGAGCTTCATAACTTGTACTCTTGTCCAAGTATAATTAGAATGATCAAGTCAAGGAGGATGAAGGGGGAATGTAGCACGAATGGGGGAGAAGAGGAATGCATATATGATATTGGTGGGAAAGCCAGAGGGATAGAGACCACTGGGAAAAAACATGGTGTAGGTGGGTGGACAGTATTAAAATGGAAAGATGGTATGGATTGGATTGATCTGGCTCAGGATAGGAACCAGTGGATGGCTCTTGTGAACAGGTAATGAAACTTCGGGTTCCATAAAATACTGGGAAGTTCTTGAGTATCTGCACAATTGGCGGTTTCTCAAGAAGGGCTCAGCTCCATGAGTGATGATGATGATGAGGTCATCTGACATTTAATTACCGTCAGTGTAACCAGTATGTTACATGGTCTCTTTCCATGTTAGGCCTACACAAAGTCCAATCCCCAGAATATAGAACAAGTTATAAACCGCGTATGATTTGAGACTCTCACAGGGGTGTTTATGAAGTTTTCTTTTTCAGGGAATATATAATAGCAGCTTCGAGGGTACAGCGGTAGGGGTGGGAAGCGGAACGCCCACCCCGGCCTAATGCGGAGGTCAAGAATTGACACCTCCACTCCTCCATACGTCCTGATAGTTTGGTGCTTAATTAGTTAACCTCAGGGACAACGTAACCTTATCTTTAGGTCTTATCCCGAAAGACAGAAATCTTCAAATCTTACATAGACTAAATATAGCTAATACATGCTTCGCGTATGGCTACAGAACTAACAGAATTATGCAAACAAATGCATTCACGGAGAAGTTTCATGCGAGAAGCATTGTCTTCCGCAGAGATGGGTGTGTATCTTTCCGTCTTACGCTTAGACATCTGGGGAAGTGGTCGTGGTCTGTTTAAATCCATCGTTGCAACTTACCCGTAAGTGGCAAAATTCGTGAAAAGTGTCACCATTGTGTCTATCACACGTTTGTCAGGATGACCAGCGGGCCACACATTGAAAACCGGCAATGGTATCAGATAAATGAGATCATCCATATGAACTACACCTGTAACATACAGAGCAGTATGATACATAGTATTAGTAGTTACTATAGGATTCTGACGATGGTGCATAACACACAGAGATATTGGGTTTTCGGACTTTATCCATCGTCCTGGTTTTAAGATAACTAAGAAAAACACGACGTTTCGGAAACTGGATCTGTTTCCGTCCTCAGGTGAGGGAAAACTCCTATTCTGTTGGGACCCTTAGAAAGAGCTAGCCTCAATCACTGGATTGTCCATTTACTTTATCAGTTGGCTATCTATGGCCTTGACATAAATAGGAAGTTCAGTTTCGTATAACGAAAAAATTTCGAGAGAAAACGAGTTTGTGCAATGCCACTGATCGATACTGCGCCATATATCGCAACGATTTATTACAAAATGTCCGTGACCTAGCTCACGAGGCTGGATGGTGTCTTCTCACTATGAAGGCCAAGGCTCTATCCCGGGTTACTTCATGTGAGGAAGTGACACTGGAACAGGTTCTTCTCCGATTTGGTTCTGTTTCCCCTTGCTAATCACCATTCCACCATTGCTCCTTACTCACCGTCACTGTCCTTGAGGTGTGTGGTAGCCCCGACCAGAAAGTCATTAATTATCACATGCTCCCTGGGTCAGTTCTTCATGGAGCCAAGTGACTATTATGACGCCCCCATAAATAGAGTCCTGCATTTCATTCAAAGTGTAGGATTAATAAAGGGTTAATCCAAAGGGGAAGCACAATAGATCATTGAAGGTCGCAGTGCGAGGGCCGGTTTTTATGGCCCAGCGCATACACCCATACATACTCAGTCTTTAGGCTGGAGTGTTGAACTCGGACCCGGCACTTGGCTGATTAGAGGAAAAGGAAGTTTCTAAGCTGCTCACCCAAATTCATATGCGTGCTTCCAATTTCGGCCAGATCTCCGAAGGAGTACAGTCCTCGGTATGCGAAGTTATAGCGATATATTGGCTCATGGCCTGCCTCAGAATGCAATATGGCTGCCTTGTGGACAGCATGGACAACGTACCGATCGGTGTACAACTGCGGAACAACAGAGACACACACGTACACATTTAGGCTTCATTTAGAAGTAGAAATATCTGCTTAATGCCTTTGAATATTACTTCCTTTCTTGAGGTAATAAAACAAGCATGTAGCACGAATGAGGGAGAAGAGGAATCCATAGAGGATATTGGTGGGAAAGCCAGAAGGAAAGAGACCACTGGGAAAAGCAAGGCATAGGTCGGTGGACAATATTAAAATGGATCTTAGAGAGATAGGATGGGGTTGGATTGACCTGGCTCAGGATAGGGATCAATGGAGGGCTCTTGTGGACACGGTAATGAATCTTCGGGTTCCATAAAATGCTGGGTAGTTCTTGAGTAGCTGCAGAATTGGCGGCTCCTCCAGCAGGACTCGGCTCCTTGAGACACTATGTTACAAGCCGGAAGGTCGCGAGTTCAACTCCCGATAAGGTCATTGAATTTTTCAATTGACCTAATCCTTTCAGCCACACCATGGCCCTGGGGTTCGACTCAGCCCCTAACAGAAATGAGTACCAGAAATCTTCCTGGGTTAAAGAGCGGCCGGCGCGTAAGACTGACAACCTTACTGCCATCTGTGAGCCGATTTGTCTAGAAAATGTGGGAGCCTCGACGGCTCACAATCCTATGGGCCTTCACGGCCAGTTACAGGGATAGCTTCACCTTATTTTACTTTTTAACGCTTTCGTTTGTATTGTGACGAGTTCTTTCTTTCTTTCACATTTATCCTGAAAGATTCAGTGCGCATTAAAACCACTAAAATTAAATATAGCCCGAAAATAAATAGAATGAAAGATTTGCAGAAACATTATTAGTGAATAACGGTAGTTTTCTCTGCACCGGGATTCAAAACTGATGTGCAAAAATAGTTGTTTTTTACTAAATAATTAGACGTAAGGACATGCATTTTGTACATGAGCACATGATATTTAAAAATAGATGACTTTATTTCTATTGCTGTACCATGTGGCAAATTTCGTGTTTAAATTAAACGTGATACTGGACATCTGTATCCGACTCCATCGAAAAGACCTTTCATATTAATAGTCGCCGAGTTAGACAAAATTTCCCTGCGTTTTATGGAACCCGAACATTCATTACCGTAATCAAAACAGCCCATCACTTGTCCTATCCTGAGCATGATTAATTCATGTAAGATTTGAGGTTTTCAAGGCGGTGACTATGAAGAAAGCAGTCTTCTGGGATGTGACACCGTGTAGATGTGGTGTTAACCGACGTTTCGGTTAATTTATGATTTATGATTTAATTCATTTAATTTATGATTTCATTAATGATTTAAATTAATCTAATTTAATTTTAATTTAATAAAATATTAATGATTTAATTTATCAATTTATCCCTTCAAATTTCTGATAAAAGCTGGATACTTAATTTTAATACGTGCTACATGCCCAATCGTCTAACCTTCTTTGGTTTGACCATCCTCATAACGTTTATGAAGCACCCCATCACGAAAACTTTCTCCAGCTCAGCACCAACAGTCTGTCACATATGCCTGTCTTACCTTAATGAGATCACTGGGGTCTGGAATCTCCTTCTTGCCGAAGTAGAAGCTACGAATTCGCTGCCAAGTTTCGGGTATCAGAGATTCATTTAAACTTAGCTTCAAGAAGAAATCTTCCGGTCCTTGAACGTCCATATGTTCGCTGAATTGCTCCACTTCGGAATGATCAGTTATGTTTCCTGCCGGGACCACAACTTAGTGAGTGTCTCATTTTCAAAATTATTGATATTTGTACATACAGAACATGATTTGAAAATATTCTGGTTGCAAGAAAAGGGCGCTCAGGAAGTAGGGTACCTCGACGTCGGTCTCGTCTCTGTTCTGCGCGATCCACTTGTTCCTGTCCTGTAATGTTTGTCATAAGAGCACACACAGACCAGGTATAAAGCAATGCGAAGATTTTGAATTTACGGGAAAGTAACTGTTACAATTTTTGTAATTATGTTGATATTATTTGTGGTTCGCCATGCCCCTTTACCTCGAGTGACCAAGTGAGACTGCCAAACTCCAGACAAGTTCCGAATGCCCAGAGGAAAATTAGACGCCTGCAAAAACTTTTGGTCACTGCCGTCGACCAAGCTAGAATATCCTTCGATCACTGTACAATATATATGTATATATAT